GTNTCTCTCTCCCTCTCTCTCTCTCTCTCTCTCTCTCTCTCTCTCTCTCTCTCATTTTCATTCGGTTCTCTCCCGTTTCCTCCCCTTTTCTTCGTTCCTTCGCGGCAAAACTCGCACTCCTCCCCCTCCTCGTCTCGTTCCACGGAGCGGACAAGGCAAGGGTTTCGAGTCCCCGAGTACGACCACGATACAATTGTTACGAGGCTTGTTAGAGTTGTCGCGGCCTAATGGCGCACTTTATTATCGGCCTCAGCCGGGACTCCGCGGCTGCATCCGCGCTGGATGCGTTTAAATCACCGCCCTTTGACGCATTAGTCCCGGTCCCGACTCGCTTCGTCCTCCGATACTCGAGACGCGTGTTCCGATGACGTCCCTTCCCGTCCAAACGGGAGGATCGTAATTGGAACGTATCGCGCGCCACCATTTTTTATTCCACCGCAATAGTCGGCTCGCGTTCCACTTCCAAACTCTCCTCTTTTTCGCGATACGAGCACACATTTTTCAAATTTTTTCCTTTCTTTCTTTCTTTCGCGTATGGAAAATTGACACGCGCGGTCACGATTATATACCTATACCTATCCGTAGTGATATTTAATTCGCGTTGATACTATCGTTTTCGATTTTTCGACAACTCACCCTTCGGTTTGTCGTGCGCTAATGCCCTTTGAAAGTGTTCCTCCACTTCGGACGCAGCATCCCCTCGATAATGGGTGAAGACCACGCAATTTGTGCTCACGTATTGCGCTATGCTCTCGCCATCGTCCGAATCTTCCGCTGCGGTCCCAGTACCTACAGCTATAAGCCAATTAGAAAGGGGATATTTGTCAGGAATGACCGATATCTCGCGAAATAAATATTCTCCAAGTAAAAAAAATCTTCCTTTATGACTCGTGTCGTACGTAATTTCGATCTACGCAGTAACAGCAACAGTTCCAACTCACCGTCCGTCGATCTGTCATCGTCCAACGTTCTCGAGGGTTGCGAAGCGGTCGATGCAACGGGTGGCCGTGGTTGAGGAGTCGGCCTTGGCGATGCCGGACTAGGCGCCGAGCCGACGGAACCCGCGCTGCTCTGTTGCCCTTGTGGAACACTTCCACCAGCAGCTGGACAAATTTGTCCGAGTGGTCTTTGGTGAACGTTCAACTGTAAAAACAACAGGGGAAAAAATCGCGATATCTTCTCTTCCTCGTCTATATCCGTCTGCGCATCGAGAAATACACATCGGGTTTTATCAGAGTTTCGCACGAAAAGGGATAAACGATTATTTCGTCGTATTCGACTCGACACGACGAAATAACCGTTACAAAGTTTGATAAAACGTCGGATAAATTATTAACGATTCGGTATTTACACAATTTACATGGTAATTAAGATAATACTCGCGGTTTACGAGTACAATTCATCGCTTTCGCGTATCTCGATAAATTTCACAACAATTTCCTTTCACTCGCGATTTTCACACGCTTCTGACATCGCGCGTACGTTGTACGAACCTACGTGATATTTATAATTATCAGAGTTCGAATAAGCAATAATTTTCACAATTTCAAACGTGGAAAACGTTCGTATATTCATGCAATCAATTTCAACATATTCAACGGAAAATTTATTTCATTTTCCATCGATCGACAATATATATATATTATTTTCCATTTTCTAAATACCAACCAGTATAAACTCGAATAATCTTTCGAGTATTCTTTATCGACTATGTCTTTCGACGAATTCATCACCGTTCTATCGATATTTTCGTAAATCCTTCCTTAAAAAAAAAAAAAAAGAAATTATCGCGTCTACTAATCCGTCGCCTTATTTTCCTCGATCGTTCGAATAACGGTGGAGCGTTCGATCGTCGAATTCGGATCGAAATTTCGAAGCAGCCTCCCTGCTGATCCCCGAATGACGCGACATCCCTCGAGTTCTCGATAAAATATCGAGGGAATGGTCGGTGGACGAAATCGCTTCGACGATCAACGTCCACAATTCCAGGGATTTTACCACCCTCCGACCGTAAACCACCCTCGGCAGTCACTTGGCGAATCCGACGACGAGCGGACGCGTCGATTCACGTTTAGTAGGTAAATCGTACGAACCACGTCCTTAGAAGAGGGGCCTCCATTGAGCGCATACCGACGCCAGGCGTCGGCGTCCATTGTACCTCCCACCCGCTCGGTCAGACTGCACAAATAGCGCGAGAGCTATGCTATGCGCACCGGCATCGTCGTCACGGCCGCCGCTCGCAATCAGACCAAATAGGACGTAATGCTCGCTATTCATTAGATCCTACGGATGCAAATGCCACGCTGGGTCATGGCATTCTGCTCGAATTTTTTCCACCGCGCCAAACCCTCCCCCCTCCCCTCCATAAGATCGCGCACGCGACGCGACAAGCCAACTATTCGGCCACCGTTCGATCGATCGAAACACGACGGATGCCAGTGCTCGAGATGCTCCACGCAACGACTCGGACTCGCCGCTCCACATTTTCGCCGCTATTCATTTTCGTTGCACGACCAAATGACCAAAAAAAAAAAAAAATAAATAAATAAAAAATAAAAAAAAAAAAGAATAGAGATAGAAAAAAATATGTTTAAAAAGTTATAAATCCTCGCGAGACTACGCACAATCTCGAAATCGGGGGGGATTTTACAGGATCTCGACCAGGATAGATGGACGTCGATCGACGAGCGGGAAACCGTTAGTCGCGTGGTTCGTCGCGAATCGAACGCAGGAGCATCGCGCGCCTCGACGTCGATTAATTCCGCGCTGTGTATAATCCGGCTGTGGATTATTCGAGAAACTCGGAGGACGCGAACGTTCCGATCGGAAACCGGCCAACCATGCCAACCGCTATGTAATTTTAACCAGCCGATGTTCGTTTGCCCGCTGGCTATCGAGAGTCGGTCGTGTCTTTGTCGTCGTTGTCGCCGTTATTGTCGAAGGTCAACAGATCGACGAGCGATCGAAAGTGAACGGCGGTGGCTACTTATTTACACAGGCAAGCGGGAACGATTTGCCGCGGCGGCATTACTCGCGATTCCCGCAACCAGGAGGAAAAATTTCTTTCCATTTTTCGAGAAAAGAAGAGAGTAGAAGAGAGAATATTCGTCGCGGAAATAATCCGTTCGAATACGAGCGAACTTCGTTTCTCGTGGGACGCGGGAATATTAGCGGAGAGATAAATCGGGAAGAGTGGCGCGAGATCCATCCGATATTCGTTAGAGTTAGGCGAGGGGACGCGCGGCGAACACGATCGTAATGATCCAAGAAACCGCCTCGGTAGCGCGCGCGAGGTACATACCATCCCGACGCGATGATAAAGGATCGCGCGATCGCAGCCTCGCGTACACGTAGCCGGTAGCCATTATTGTTGCGCCACTATCGCGAATAAATCTGTCGGACGACGGATGGCCGTGCATGAGTTATAATCCCGAATCCCGCTGAATCGAGAAAAACACCGGATGATTCGTGTCCCTCCGCTTCGCAACGCTCGAATTCCTCCTCCTTCTCCTCTTTCCGATAACGAACGCGTTACCCTTCTTCCCGATACTCGTTTTGTTTACGACTTTAAGAAATAATTTTTACAACGTCCACGGCGATTAAACGGAGATAATAAATTGTTCGCATGCGTCGTTGAAAGATAGGGAGGAGGGGGGAGGGGGGGGGGAAGAGAGGAAGGATTGATACGTGGAAAAGAGGATACATCATAGGCAATAGCGTCGAGTTCGATCGCGGTTCGAACTCGTTCTCCTTGAAACCCCTTTGAGACCGAGTCGTCGCTCAATCCAACAAATTTATCCTATCGTTGAATTTCACATTTCGCCACGTTTCGTCGTTCACGTTTTTTTTCCTTCCTTTTCTCTTTTTATCGAAAACGATATCCGTAACGAACGAGATAGATCTCGTTCAATCGGAGCTACGTTAGAGTTAAATAAAACGGTTGAACGAATGAATAAAATCGAAGAATCTATCGATTTTTCAACGTATCCCCTCCTTTCAAAAATTTAAATCTCGAGCACGAGCGAGATTGAAAGTAAATTATACGTGTTTTAATTATTTCTTCCTCTCGGAAATCGTCTTAGATATATATATATATATATCTAACTCGTATCAAAGACGCATCAATCTTCTCGTAACTCGGCTGAGACTGGAGTTTATTCAGGCTTGACCCGCGCGAGCGTTTAATTCGCCGCTTAAACGACGGTTTATGCAATGAATTAGAGCTTCAGACACGCTAACGAACGATCGCGATCGGCCGAGAAAATGCACGCGCGATTCTCGCATCGTTCGACGGCACGATACGCGCAATTGCGTATGCATCGTGGTAGCCATTATTGTTGCGAACGCGATTGTCGCGTCTCGGCTGACAAATGGACGCGCGAGCGACGTTAAGTATAAGTTTAACCCTGGCAAATCGATCGAGAGATCTGCGCGGTTCCATTTATCTAGGTCGTGCCACTCTTTGCCAGGATTCTCTCTTCTATTCTCTCTCGTGTGTGCCTCTTTTCGTTCCCGTCGATCGTTCGCGCGAAAATACGCGCGAAGGAAAACGAGAAGCAAATCGTTATCGTTTGCGCGTCGTTTGCAAAAAATAATCTCCAATTATCTCGTTATTGTCGATTCGAAAAAAAATGTCATCGTCGTAGGATCTCTACTTTTCACGATATATACGAGCGTCTCCATCGATAATTATAATAAAACGGTCATTATTTCACGCGTATTCCGTTCCGTCGCGCGTTGCAAACGTTTTTCCCTTTCGCGAAACATCGTGGAACGCTCGACGCGAAAGGCGTATCTATATTCGCGGCAAAAAGGAAAAACTTGGAAGTAAATAATATCGTTGCATCCAACAATGTCGCGGCGATGTTGAAACCACGTTTCTCCTCTCCTCCCCCTCCTCTCCAATCGGTTTGTCATCTCCGCTGCCTCTTCTCGCTCGCTCGTCTCGTTGACAAGCGAACCTTTTCGCGAGTATATCGGGGCGAGCCGCGTATCCCGCCTAACCAATTACGTTCATACATCAGCGGTGGCGTAGCGGCGCAACGAAAATAAGCTGACGCTGATGTATACCGTGCGACCGATGGGGGCGGGTGGGCCGGGGCCACGCGTGGCCCCAGACCCAAACTCGCGCGCGCTACGCTACTCCGAGATGTTATCGTTATCCGCTATAATAAACCGAGAGCCGACATTCCACGGGCTAGTAGATCACCGCCATGATCCCGAAACGGCGAAAACTTGCGGCGGAGTCGAGCCACGTCGAACGATGACCGCTGGTATTCGGGGAACGCGCAATTGATCATGAACTTGAGCGACCAGCCCCAACTTATATACCACGCTATCTCGATCGTGTTCGTTTTCCGCGCCATTTCGCCCACTTCGCGGTGATTTACGTTTCTAATTTCTTCTCTTTCTTTTTTTTTTCTTTTCGCCGCGATGGAATAGAATAATTTCTCTTCCCATTCCGCACGGATGAGCGGATGATTCGCCGAAAACGCGCGGAGAAAGATGAAAAGAGAGGAGAAACGAAGGTAAGTAAGAAAAGGCCGATCTTGCACGGATTACCGCGGCCAAGCATCCAACATCGTCCGGACGACAATGTGGTAATTAATCGAAGCAAGTCTGTCCGCGACGCTCGCTCTCTTCCTCTTTTACCTTCCCTCGAAACGGTCTATGTCCTCGCGGCGAACCAACGACTCTAACTCCGCCGAGAAGAGAGAGAGAGAGAGAGAGCTCGCGGTCTTTCAAAGCATTCCAAAGCGCGAGCGCGCCTCTTCCTCTTCTTCCTCTCTTTCATCCCCTCCTCGATCCCACCACCACCACCATCACCACCACTACCGGTGTCGACTCGCTTCACCGACTTAAGACCGCGCGCGTCTTTATTCGTTTCCTCTTTTGTCTTATAGATCTCTGAATCTTCGTATCCTCTCTCCCCTCCCCCCCCTCCCTCGTCTCGTTCGTTTCCCTTCGTGTCCTTCAACCCCCATTAAAATGCTCGATACCTCGATGATCCTGGACGTTGATTTGGATTTATGTTCCACCGCGAATCGAACCAAACACCGACTGCTCACCGATTGTGTACACGATCCACCGATCATTGCTCACCGATGTTCTTGCGTTTGTTCCTGCGTCCAAAGTATCCCAAG